TAAAGTGAGTAGAGTTCTAATGAAAAAACCCGGAACAGGTGAAAGTATGGGCATTGGTATGTTTGTATACACACACACACACACACACACACAAAAAAAAAAAAAAAAATACATAGTAAATTAGGGTTTTCAAAGTCCTCAGGAAAAAAATAATAAATTTCATCTTATAGTCCAATATCTGGCAAATATTTACTGAGCACTGCCAATGTCAGGTAGTGTTTAGATGCTTGAAGACTATAACAAAATAAAATTTTGTGCTTGGAGAGAGAGGCACCACACAATCTGTAGTGATAAGTGCTATAAAGAAAACAAAGTGGGGCAAGGAATTAGTGAATGAGAATACATATGTTCTCAATCTTTAGAGAAGTGTAAAAATTGTCCAAGAAGCAGCAATTCCAAATTCAAAAGTCTTCAACTAGGATTGCTCTGTATCTCTGAGGATGGGGCCAGTGTAACTAGAATAGAGGAAGCAAAGAGTAACACAGAACAAAATCAGAGGAGCAGACTTACAAACCTCCATAATGAGCTCAGACTTCATTTTTTTAAAAATTATTTTTTAGTTATAGTTGGACACAATACCCTTATTTTATTTATTTTTACATGGTGCTAAGGATCAAACCCAAGGCCTTGCACATGCTAGGCAAGTGCTCTACTGCTGAGCCATAACTGCAGCCCCAGACTTCATTCTTTAATTGTGAAATTTCTTAAAGGGATTTTGACAAATTAGCATCTCACATTTTGTAAGGGTTGTTCTGGTTGCTGTACAGACTAAAATTAGCATTTAATATCACATACCAGTTGTTTAAGAACGCTTATGTTAATCCTTCGGAACAACCATATGAGGTATGGAAATATCCTCATTATAGATGAAGAAATCCAGGGAACAAAAGTTAAATAGCTCTGCTATTGCAAAGCTAGGACTTAAACCTGGAGAGTATGTGTTGTATGTACTCTTTTAACTTTGTGGCACAGGGATACCAGTAAAAACATCAGTAGTCACCTGGGTTAGACTGATAGCAGTGATTTCCTATACCAGGGGTTCTTTTTCCCCAAATTGTGGGATTTTTATGAGTATGACCATTGATTAATAAGCAACAAAAGGAACGACAAAAGGAGTTAGTTTAAAAAAATGGTGGTCATAGCAAAAGGCTTCATATTTGCCTAGGAACATTTTATAATATTAAGAGACTGAGTAAACCTATATAGTTAGGAAAATACCAAATGAGTTTTTGATTGCATGCTTTCACTATGTTAAAATGTCATTCTGACTAAATGTCATATCAAAGTTTTAACTTTTTAAGAAAAATGATTGCTTTCACACTAATTACAAAAAGAAGACCTTATATCTTGCTTTCCAAAACGTTAAATGTTCAAATACCAGGTGATTTAGTTCTCTTAGCACAAAGAACAACAATCTTGAGGTTTTCGACACTTTCTAGGAGAAATACTCCAGAAGAGAGAGATCTATGAAAATAGTTTTGGGGCTGGGGCTGTAGCTCAGTGGTAGAGCACTTGCATCACATGTGTGAGGCACTGGGTTTGATCTTCAGTACCACATGAAAGTAAATAAGTGAATAAATATATTGTGTCCATCTACAACTAAAAAAATATTAAAAATAAAAAGAAAATAGTTTTGATGAATCATTTTTAAATGGGGCAGAAGAAATAACAGGACTCATTAAGAATCTGAATGTAGCCATAAATTGTTAAGAGGAGTACTGACATCACAAACTGTCAAAAATTTAAGGACTCAAATCATAGAAATAATAATGTCTGACAGCCTTGCAGATAGAATATTGTTAATATTTAGCTCAGTCCTATGAAGCTTTTCACAGAATGAATTATGTCACTATTCCAATTAAATTGTGGAATTCACACTGATGTTGGTTCAGAACTATGCCTACAATGGAGTAAAGGACTGTGTTAGGAACCTTAGGTGAATATAAATATTGGTTATTGTGCTATGCAGGGTAGCTCAGTAATAGAGTGCTTGCCTAGCACTTTGGGTTCCATCCTCAGTTCTGGGGGAAAAAATTGGTTAACGTCCTAGGTGTTGGTATAATATATATGGTTTATACAACAAAACTTATTACCAACTTAAAACACATTTTAAAAATTCTTTGCTTCTAAAGAAGACTCTTCATTATGATCTTCATACCATGTTCTTTCTCCTTTGTTCTATTTTACAAGATAAAATGCCTTTTTAAATACTATTTCATGATTGTAACAAATCCTGAGGTAATCTTTATAAAATTATTTGTTGTGATCAAACTGACATCTATTCTTTAGGGTGTGCTTTTGTATTGATACACAGTAAATAAGTATGATAAATCACTGGTGACAGAAGAACATAGTTGTTTAACAAGGAGAGATATACAGAACATTTAGAGGGTAACCTTTCATAGCACTTTTTTT